TATGTACTTTTATGGTCGCGTTCAATTTTTTGTTCAATTTTGTCAACGATGTTGCTTAATTTTTAATGTATTAATGATCGTGTTTCTAGTCTTCCTTTCCTTCCAATCCAGGGAAAATTGTATAGTTTGAACCATTTTGATTGCAAAAATCGCTCGTTTACGTTCGTCGAGATTCGCTCTGTTTGCAAATCTCGTTCTTCTAGTCTTCTTCATGTTCTAACCCAAGCGTTTATGGGAACCCTGCACAGTTTAAACCCGATTTGTTTCCAATAATTGCTCGTTTAAGTTTTATTAGCTTCGCTCTGTTCGGGTATGGCCACGTTTTGTATGTTTCTTCTTCAATTATTTCAGCGATGCTGTAAAAGTTGAAATTTCTTTTTCAAAGAAACACAGTTTAAGCAAATTTTGCGTGCAGCAATCGCTCGTTTAAATTGATGGAGGTTTGTTTTGTTCGCGAATGTTCATCGTTTGATTTTGTAAGTTCAAGTTTGGTTTGAGTTATTTTTACAATTGTAACTGTGGTCACGTTCTAGAGTTTCAATTTTTTTAGTTATCATTCGTTTCGAGTTTTTGTGATCTTCTAAAGCAGTAAAAAATTTACAGTTTGAACCAATTTTGATTGCAACAATTGCTCGTTTACGTTCGCCGAGCTTTGCTTTGTCCCCGAACGTTGTTCGCGCTCTTCAACATCTTTTCTAATACTTCTTTACCGTCTGACCCAACGTTTATGCGAAGCTACACAATTCAAATTAGCTTTGATTGTAGCAATCGCTCGTGTAAGTTTGTTGAGCTTCGCTCTGTTCGCAAACGTTCAAAACTGCATCTGTTTAATGCGTTTCGAAGCCTTACAGCCAATCGCAAAGCTTGATTTGACGCCGATTAAGCGATCGAGTGTTCGAGTTTCGAAGTTCTAAGAAGTTCTAATCCGGGAAAAAGTGCACAAATGTGCTGCACTTTAATGACCAGAATTTAGTTTTCTGGCTCGTTTAAATTCGGCTTGATACGGTTTGAGCAGGTCGAAACCGGTCTCTGATGGGTGTTTCTAGTCTTATTTTCCTTCAAATCCAGGAAAAAGTGCACAGTTTGAACCATTTTGATTGGAAAAATCGTTCGTTTACGTTCGTCCAGATTCGCTTTGTTTGCGACTGTCGTTCTTCTAGTCTTCATGTTCTAACCCAAGCGTTTATAGGAACCCTGCACAGTTTAAACCAGATTTGTTTTCAACTATTGCTCGTTTAAGTTTTATGAGCTTTGCTCTGTTCGGGGATGTTTGGCCTCTCTCAGTATAGTCTTCTTTATCTTCTGACCCAAGCGTTTGAAAGCTGCTGTTTTCTGATTGCGTCTGTTTTGAGAATTGTTAAGCCATATAATTGATGGCCACGTTTTGTATGTTCCTTCTTCAATTATTTCAGCGATGCTGTGAAATTTTAAATTTTATTCATAGTCGCTCCTTTACGCTTCTTCAAAGCTACACAGTTTAAGCAAACTTTGCGTGTAGCAATCGCTCGTTTAAGTTGATGGAGGTTTGTTCTGTTCGCGAATGTTCATCGTTTGATTTTGTAAGTTCAAGTTTTGGTTTGAGTTATTTTTACAATTGTAACTGTGGTCACGTCCTAGAGTTTCAATTTTGTTTAGTTATCATTCGTTTCGAGTTTTTGTGACCTTCTAAAGCAGTAAAAAATTTACAGTTTGAAACGATTGCTCGTTTACGTTCGCCGAGCTTTCGCTTTGTTCCCGAACGTATGGCGCTCTTCAACATCTTTTCTAATACTTCTTCACCTTCTGACCCAACGTTTATGCGAAGCTACACAATTCAAATTAGCTTTGATTGTAGCAATCGCTCGTGTAAGTTTGTTGAGCGTCGCTCTGTTCGCAAATGTTTACAACTGCATCTGTTTAAGGCGTTTCGAAGCCTTACAGCCAATTGCAAAGCTTGATTTGAGGGCGATTAAGCGAGTTTTTGAAGTTCTAATCCGGGAAAAAGTGCACAAATGTGCTGCACTTTAATGACCAGTTTCTGAAGTTTTTAATTTTCTTTAATTGCAATAATTGTTCGTAGAAATTCGGCGAGCTTCGTTCTGGTCGTCAATGTGCTTGCCTTAAGACTAATTAAGAGTGATTTACAATTCGAATATTTTTGTTTTTTTGTCTTGTTTCACCCTATAGAAAATGTCATGAGTGGAAAAGCGCACACTAGTTCACGTTCTGTCTTTTTCTATCAGCAGAATTGGATTGAAGCAAACATGTCTCGGTGTGTTGCATTGAATGTAGATTTCAGTAAAGTAAATCCATGCCGATAAAATCGCGGGCGATTCATACTGTTTACTATCGATTTAGCCTGAAACTTTAATGTTTTTGAATCATTTTTAGCAAAACTGTGTGAAAAACAAAAAAGTGTTGTGTAATGGTAAATGTGTAAATGTTATATTTTTATTCGCTCTTTCCATGACAGCCTAAGGAAGGCCAAGAGAATCTATGATTAAAGAATGTGTTTTTCCGTTTTTTACAATCCGAATAATAAAATTAGCGCTGAAAATGTTCATTAAAATTTTTAGCCGTTCGATTAGGTGTCTCTAAATCTTTAGATTAACTCTTTGGAAACAATTGCAGCTTATTTAGTTTTCTGGCTCGTTTAATTTCGGCTTGATACGGTTTGAACAGGTCAAAACCAGTCTCTGATAGGCGACATTTCTCCAGATCAACGTTACGCGTGCTGATTTGTATTTTTTCCTCCGTAGGTCCCGTTATTGTTCACTTCATCGTCTACTGAGTTCGTTACTTTGCGGCAATCGCACAATTTCATCATCATCATTCTAAACACCACGAAATCACTGGTTTTGCTACGGAATTTAAGCACGTTTTCGGTCACTATCTCGAAGATTTGAACGCTTTTCCCCATGGAAAACAAGCCTTGAAACGTCCTAATCTCGCATATTGATCAGGTTTATGCCCTAATCCCGGGGTTTCATCGCTTCGCTACTTTTCCAGATTTTCCGTTCGGCAGGGGGCCTCTTATTAGAGCAGACGTGTTGACGTCACTGGATGTCTGAAAGGATGCGGAAATTGACCTTAATCAGCCTTTTTGGGGGCCTTTGTTGTCCTGATTTTGACCTGAAACTGCCCTTCACATTCAACTGAGCAATTTCAGTTAATTCAACTGGAATAATTGACGTTTTTTGTAGCGTTTTTATTGATAATTTCATATGTAGGACTGAGGTTGAACTAAGCTGGGAAAAATTATGTTTCTGGACGATTTTTATAAAACTTTCTACATGTTCTCAGTCAAATTTATTCTAAATACGCTGCAAATTTCAAATTGTTTTATGTTTTCGTTTCGATGATACAAAGACGGGAGCGCAGCTGAGTAAAAACGTGTTATTTGACCGATATTTACTAGGATGGAAAAAAATCAAGATGTTGGGTCATTTTGACGAAACTTTTTGCAGATTTAGAGTCAAGTATCGTCTAAACGTGGCAAATATTTTGAATTCCTATCTGCGTTTGTTTGCAAAATTCGAATTTTTAAACCAGAAGACTGCTAATTTTGAGTTTCATAAATAATCTGATTTTTATAACAAATCAGAATTTTTGGCGATTTATATATAATGTTTTGCATTTTTAGAGCAACATGTCTCCTAAAGAAGGTACGCATTTTAAAGAACTTCCTTTTGTTAGAAAGATGCGAATTTTTGACGAATAGAACGCAGTTGGGAAAAACGTCAGAAATGGGACCGATATTTACAAAGGGCAAAAACTCAAGGTTTCGGGCGATTTTCTTGAAACTTTCACAACCTTTTGGGTCAAGTATTTTCAAAATATGGTGAACATTTCGAGTTGTTGCTTCCTTTAGTTTGAGAGATACGACTTTTTAAAGCGGAAATCGCGGTGGGTCAAAGGGTCTAAAATGAGACCGACATTTATAAAGCCCAAAATACCTGAGGTTCTGGGCGATTTTGTTGAAACTTTCACAACCTTTAGGGTCAAGTGTTTTATAAAAATGGTGAATATTTGGATATGTCACGTGCCTCCGTTTGGGAGTTACGGATTTTCAAGGAGATGACGCGCAGCTGAGTAAAAATGTCCAAAATGAGACGATATTTATTAAGCTAGGAAAACTCAACATTTTATGTTATTTATATGAAACCTTCAGCATCTTTAGAGTCAAGTGTTTGCTAAAAATGGTAAGAATTTAAAATTGTCATTTAGTTTAGGAAGGAAGATGCGAATTTTCAAAGAAGAATGCGACGTTGAGTAAAAATAGCTGTAATGAGACGGGTATTTAATAATTTTGAAAAACATTTGAATTTCTTACGATTTTTCTAAAACTTGCAGAAATTTCCAGTAGAATTTCTTCTAAAGGTGGTGGTTTTTTCAAATTCCTATTTGCATTTGTTTAGAAGATGCGATTTTTAAAGAAAATTACGCAATTGGATGAAAACATTCATTATTAGACTCTCTCAGATTCAGATTAGACCCACATTTAACAAGCTGGCAAAAATAAAAAATTACTGGCCATTTTGTGGCTTTTTGTGGCCAATTTGTGCTTTGCTGTTCTGATTTTGACCTGAAACTACCCTTCACATTTAACTGAACAAATTCGATTAATTAAATTGCAATAATTGAAGCGTTTTGGTTTTTTTTTATAAGTTCAGATATAGGAGAAAATACTTGAGAACTTCGTTTGTAGAACAAAGGAAAAAGGTACTTGAACACTAGCAAGATAACGATGTTTTATGTTATTTAGGAATTTTTGTGGTTGATGTTGTCATATCAACAGGTTCTAGGTTCCAACGATCATCCATCAGGCTACTTTTAGTAGTTCCGAGCAATTCGCTATTTACTTCTTGGAGAATGTTCGGTTTTTTATTGAATAATCAGTATAAATCTGAATGTAAGGCTTGGCAAAGGCATAAATCCCAAACAACTTTCACGTTTATAATGATATATGAATGTTAATTCATCTAACAATCGATTGCTTAGTTTGGAATGTTTTGTTTCAGAGGAAGAAGCCTACCACTGTATGGCCAGCTTGGTTTCCTGCAAAGAAAAGACTTTTATAACGCAAACGAAACTTCTTTACGAAGTCACGTGGAAGACTGTGATGCAAATATGTAGGAAGCACGTGGTAAGTCTCAATCTGATCATTGCAATATAATCAGTCAATCCCCTGCCTGCCATTTTATTGGCATGGACCTACTGTACTAAATCGCTTATCCTTCAGTTGCATTGCTCAGACAATGACAGACAGAGTTTCCTCTCTCCGTCGGCGGCATTGGATTTAGGGCAATTGCCAGAAAGGTCCATGTCGATAAAATCACCGTCAAGTGAAAAATCAATTGCGGTTATTTTTTGATTAAAAAAACGGTCGGCAGTCGGGAGACAAGGCTTGATTGGTGCGGAGCCAGAGCAGAAAATGGGAATATTTTAATTTGCAGCATTACCATATTAAAGTCGAAAAGTGTTCCACCCATTTATCATCATTTAGATGCATTTTGTGTCAAGAACGGTAATTCCTTGCAAAGGAGGAAATCGTGGGCGGCTATCGTTGTCAAGGTCGCTCAGTTTGTTCTCTCGATCCGCATTTTTTCTTGGCACTGTAGCGCTTTTGTTTACCAAGAAAAAACATCCAGTTTCTGCACACTTATGAAGTCCTCAATGTGAGCGTTCGGTGCAGACAAGTCGCATGAATCAACGCCAAACAGCAGGGTTTCCGTTTAATATGCAAAAACTGTTCCTCTTAACCATTTGCAATGGAGTTCTTAATTGGGTAATTGTATTGGTCAGCTGCTTGCGGTTTCGCATTATGGTAAACATTTAATGGGTGTTGAAATTTGATGAGTTGATGAGATTTGGGGTTTGGTTCTGCAGTTTTTTATTTTTTTCAATTGACTGGCTGGAGGCAAAATTTCCATAAACCGTCATAAACAATCGCTGTTTTGCCTCGTGGGTTGTTTGCCGATTTATACATGATTCAGCCGCATTTATCATTGATTTGCCGATTTTAAGTAGCGCCAGTGCCATTCGACAACCAGCGATTTTAGTATTGTTAACCGAAATTTTCCCGAAGAAGAACGTGCAGTGATGGAGCATGATGAACAAATGCCCGTTTCGGCTGTGGGAGATTGAGGCGAATTGGTGCGGTTAAAATCGGGGCCGCAACAATAAAACGTTTGTTTTGTCGCGACCGGTCAATTTATAATAGAACATTATTGTAACTCATTAACCCATATAGTTCTAGCATGCGGTTGTGAGCAGTATTCTGTTACCTTTATGCATACTTAACGCTCATTACGAGACCCATAAAACCGCGTATAGTTGAACTACAAAGCCGAGCACATAATCGTTAAATCTATAATTAGTTCACGCGTCTATTCGGTTTCTATTGTTTTGATTCACTCATTTATCGGGTCGTCTAATTGGGCTTAATAATGAATGGGCACTAGGCTGAACTTAAATTTTTTCTCTTCTGAACGAACTTTCTCCCCGGGTGCAAAAAGGAATTGGACTTTTTCGTATTTGAGTTTTTTTAATTGAAAACAAAGTCTTATCACCTAATGGCGATTTTATTACAACTGAGTACAACAGTCCAAAAAAACGGTTATTTTTTCTCTAAAGCTACTTAATAAGCGAGCTTCTGAATGTTCTTGGATTCCGGAACAATTAGCCTCAACGGGAGCTCAAAATCGTTTATGCCGGAATTACACTACGCACTTTTCGCCGATTTTTTGCTCAATAAATCGGGCCAATTATTGAAGAAAAATTTCTCAGCCGTCATCGACTTCACCTGGATATTATGAGATATTTCTGTTTAGCATTGTGGCAGTTTTCGAAAGTTTTTCGTCAGAATTCGGCTTTAAATTATAAAATTGCCGATGTCTCGCTTATGATGGGTTTTTGCGAAAAAGTAACTACCAGAGTTTTTGTGCCCATTTGCCCCCTGGATCCAATGGCGTGCCCAAAAGTGAACCATCGTTTTTCATTTTGAAATGTTTTTCGGAAAACACGTTTTTGGACTCTTATTGAAAAGACTGGGGGAAACTCTCCATTAGGTGCTTTGGGACATGCCGGACCTTTTATCAAGAGCAACATTTTTGGAGATTTTTGGAGGAGGAGGAGGATTTTTCGAAGAAAATGGAGCATGAAAATTGCCCAAAATACTATGGTTTGATCCGCCGAATTTTTCGGCCAAAAACAAAAAATATATATTTTTCCTTCATACAGGCTCTTCCATACGTGCTAAAGTAGATTGGTTGGTTCGCAAAAAAATTCGTGAGTGGTCAAACGGGGAAGCAGACAAAAATTCTATAGGCTTTTATGCAAGATGAATCTTCAAACCTCCATAAAATCCTCAAATCGTCACACAATTGGCTCGTTTTCGCTTAATTGACGTTTTGCAGCTATTTATACATGTGTATTGCCAACTGTGCATAATCGATTTTGCTTTTGGAGATTTTTTTGTTTTTTTTTTAAATATACGTTTTTTAACTTTTGCCGAAAACCCTTTATGAAGAGGTTGTGAAAAAATTGCCATTTGGTGATTTGGGACATGCTGGACATTTTATCAATAGCAGCATTTTTTGATCCGAGGCTTCGTTTTCGAGCAAAAAATAAAAACGAAAAAAATTGTCAAAATCTTAAGGTAAAGTAAAAATAATTTTTTTTTTTTTTACCTCCCATACCCAAGACCAACACGTTCCATGTGGACGAAACACAAGCGAAAGTTAGTTGCTTTGTTCTGGAAAAATTTCTCAGATGAGTTAGAGAGGAAAAAGGAAAATTCTGCACAGTCTCTTAGGGGGACTCAAGCTTCAAATCTCTATAAAAAACCCAAAATTTCCATTATTTTTCTCGCAATTAATTGTTTTTTATTTTTATTATATATTTATTTCAACACATTTCTTGCCAATGGATTCTACAGGTGGGCCAAGAAAAACATCCCCATTTGAGCCCCATGTTGAGGAACTTTGCAAATCCAAAAACCTTCAGTAGTTCTTTCATATCTCACTTTAGGTAAAAAGTGAATACTGAACTTTTCGTACACTTTAACTGTAGAAATATAGAGTAAAATCACTCGAGCATTTTATAAAGAAAATAATAAAAAAACCATTTATGACAGAAAGCCGCGTTCTCCACTTCGAACTGCAAAGTTCGAATCAGGAATTTTTGGCCAATCTATACTAATTGAGACCGTAAGGAAAAGTCGATTAAAAGTAAGGAAAAACAATGAAAGAATGAAAGAACACACAGTATCGATGTGATGAAAAACCGTGTTTTTTTATGAAAAAATGGCAGTTCAAGTGAACCATTTTTGACCACCCCCAAAAGAGAGTATAAAAGAGAGTAAACAAAGAAACACCAATCAACAAAAACCAAGATAAATGAATGGAAATAAATAAAAGCATGATACACACATATAAGGCAGGCGTAAAAACAAACCAAGCAGTTCTGTATGGCAGAATTGATCAATTCTGCAATGGAAAAACACGAATAATCAATGCGCTGGTACCATACTTTGGCTACGTGCAGGCCAATTTCTGTTTCAAGGCAAGGAACTTTTGGGCAGGTGGCTGATAATTATTAACATTCTGCTCCAATTTGTCCATGTATTATTTATCTCGGGTAATTGTTGACTTAAACAACTTGTACAGAGTGGTGCTACTTGTTTTTATCACTTGGCATAATTCATATCTAAAAATGGACGTATGTAGGCATCAATGGGCATTAAGCTTCTCATTGCTGTTCTTTTCTTGCACAAGGAGAAAAAAACGGCCGGATAACTTTGATTAATTAATAAAACATTACAATATGACTAGAGTGTTTGTTTGAGGCGAGTTCACTGACTCAGCATTATTATCAAATATTACGAAAGACGTCGTAATCTATCAATGAGCTCTTTTGAATATGCTTCACATTAAAGAACGATAGTTTTTGTTTAGTTCAAAAATTTTTTGGAGTTTGTTTTAGGTTTTGCTGTTGTTTAATATTGTTATCATTATTGTTTTCAATCGTAAGGAGGACGTTCAAACCAAATGAGACCAGTTTATAAAATTTCCATTGATTTTTTACAATTTGCTTTAAAATCTGGTGTTTTACTAGTGCCCGGTTATAACAAAATAAATGCTGATTTTAGAATATGCTCAATTTAATTGAGTGCGCAAAATTTCAGTTTCGCAAAAATTTTCGGGTTTAAAAATCGATTTCCACCTCGGGCCCGGTTGCCTTTGAAAAGTCAAGAAAGGTAATCAGAGGAATGGAACGTAAAAGAAATTTTGGATTTGGATAAAAATAGCTCAAATTATTGAGTGTTCAAAATTTCAGTTTCACAGGAATTTTCGCTGATTCTTGAGAATTTTTTTAGAATTGAAATTCTGCTTTCTACACAATGTGCGGTTCTCTTTCAAAATTCATAAAATGAAATCGAGAGCACGCAAAGAAAAACATTTTGGTTTTTGTAGAAGAGGCTCTAATTATTAAGAGTGCAAATTTTTTGTTTTACTGGAAATTTCGTTGATTTTTGAGAATTTGTCCCAATTTGCGTAAAAAATTGCTGTTTTCGTTGTGCACGGTTATCTTTGAAAATGCAAAAATATACTCAGAGGCAGGGAATCAAAAATAAATTTTGGATATGGATATAAAATGTTTGAATTACTGAGTGTTCAAAATTTCAGTTTTACAGCAATTTTCGCTGATTTTTGAGAATTTTTTATATTATTTTCTTTGAAAAACTGCTTTCTACACAATGCGCGGTTCTCTTTGAAAATTTATAAAATTGAATCAAAGACACGCAAAAGGGAAAATTTGATTTTCGTAGAAGATGCTATTAAGAGTGCAAATTTTTTGTTTTGCAGGTTGATTTTTGAAAATTTGTCCCAATTTGCGTAAAAAATTGCTGTTTTCGTTGTGCACTGTTATCTTTGAAAATGCAAAAATATACTCAGAGGCAGAGAATGAAAAATACATTTTGGATTTGGATATAAAATGCTTGAATTACTGAGTGTTCAAAATTTCAGTTTTACAGCAGGCTCTAATTTTTTGTTTTGCCGGAATTTTCGTTGATTTTTGCGAATTTTTCCCAATTTGCTTTAAAAATTGCTGTTTTTGTTGTGCCCGGTTATGTTTGAAAATGCAAAAATATACTCAGAAGTAGGGAATAAAAAAAAAATTTTGGATTTGGATATAAAATGCTCGAATTACTGAGTGTTAAAAATTTCAGTTTCACAGCCATTTTCGCTGATTTTTGAAAATTGATTACATTATTTTCTTTGAAAAACTGCTTTCTACACAATGCGCGGTTCTCTTTGAACATTCATCAAATGGAATCAAAGACTCGAAGAAAAGGAAAATTTGATTCTCGTAGAAGAGGCTCTAATTATTAAGAGTGCAAATTTTTTGTTTTGCCGGAATTTTCGTTGATTTTTGAGAAGTTTCTGAATTTGCATTAAAAAGTGCTGTTTTTGTTGTGCACGGTTACCTTTGAAAATGCAAAAATATACTCAGAGGCAGGGAATGAAAAAAAAATTTTGGATTTGGATATAAAATGCTCGAATTATTAAGTGTTCAAAATTTCAGTTTCACAGCAATTTTCGCTGATTTCTGAGAATTTTTTACATTATGTTGTTTGAAAAACTCCTTTCTACTCAATGCGCGGTGGTCTTTGAAAATTTATAAAATGGAATCAAAGACACGCAAAAAAGAAAAATTTGATTTTCGTAGAAGCGGCGCTAATTACTAAGAGTGCAGATTTTTTGTGTTGCCGGAATTTTCGTTGATTTTTGAGAAGTTTTTCAATTTGCGTTAAAAATTGCTGTTTTCGTTGTGCACGGTTATCTTTGAAAATGCAAAAATATACTCAGAGGCAGGAAATGAAAAATAAATTTTGGATTTGGAGATAAAATGCTCGAATTATTAAGTGTTGAAGATTTCAGTTTCACAGCAACTTTCGCTGATTTCTGAGAATTTTTTACATTATGTTCTTTGAAAAACTGCTTTCTACACAATGCGCGGTGGTCTTTGAAAATTTATAAAATGGAATCAAAGACACGCAAAAAAGGAAAATTTGATTTTCGTAGAAGAGGTGCTAATTATTAAGAGTGCAGATTTTTTGTGTTACCGGAATTTTCGTTGATTTTTGAGAAGTTTCTCAATTTGCATTAAAAAGTGCTGTTTTTGTTGTGCACGGTTACCTTTGAAAATGCAAAAATATACTCAGAGGCAGGGAATGAAAAATAAATTTTGGATTTGGAGATAAAATGCTCGAATTATTCTGGATGTTGGCTCTGGCTGTGGCTGTTTGATAAGTTCTCGCCCGATCTGGATGGAACCGTCTGTTTGGACTAAGAACAAACGGAGAAAGAAACTCCAAAAATTTTCCAATTTTATGATAAAAGTATTGAAGCCATTGCGCGTCGAAGAACTGTGTTTGTGAAAAGTTTTCCAATGAGCACGTGTACATTTTTTTTGGTTTGCAAGATATTCCAACATGAAATTTCCTGCTTTGAAATCGCACTCAAAAGCGTGCCCTCAATGTTCTTTGGGCTGGTAAAGTGGCACCTCATTGGTCTCTAAGCTAGCGACATTTGTTCCAGAAAGGCGCAGCCGTGCACCTGCAGCGCCACTGTAGCTCAGGACGCGCTGAGCGCGTCTACATGGACTGGATCTGGTGGATCTTCCAGGGGCTTCCATTTCAGCATCTGGTGCGAATCATGGACTGCTACTTCCACGAGGGCGTTAAAGTAAGTCCACATTTACAAGCTCCCATACAAAAATGCTCCCAACATGTTTAGTACTCGGAGGAAGATCAGCAGATCCAAGCTGGTCAATAGAAGGAGTGATTGCAAATGTTCAGGGGGCGCAGCCCTTTAGGTTGGCCCCAGCAACAATCACTGTCCCTTCCATTGGCCAGCAGGAGGTCCAGATCTATCACCGATCGATCATGATTGGGACCAGTTTTTTGTTTAAGTGCCGGTGTTAGAAATGTTAGATTCTGTAAAGTAACAAATTAAACCGAGTGTTTAAAAATTGGTATCATTTTTTAACGGGCAGCTGGGGCTTACTTGGAGAGAACGCAAATAAAAAAAAGTTTTATGCAAAATTAGAACGGCAACCATGCATCCAGCTATTTGTTGATAAACCGGTCGTCATCACATCGAATTTGTGGTTGTGTTCGCAATTGTGCTCTTCAAAACTTTAAATTGATGACAATTTTTCATACTTTCAACTGTTTTTGATTGAATTGAATTGAGTAAATTTCTTTTTAGCTCGATGAAATGCTGATTTTCTTCAGTTTTTCGACTTTTTACCAGAAAACTGTTCTTTAACGCCAAGCTGCGATCGTCGAAATTTATATAAATGTTCTAGTTTCGAGGGTTTTTTCTGCAGGCCGCTCAGAGCATGACTTTGGCGTTTTTTTTTTAAATTGGATGGCAACAGGATCATTAATCGATGTTCACTTCGAAGAAATCCAGCATTGTTTACTTAGCTTTTTAATTTCTGTATACGTCGGGCGCTACTTTCGACAGCGCGAGCTTTTAAAAGTCCTCCGCAAAAAACACCGTAAACACTGCCGGTTTATTTTTCCTGTGCCTCCTGTTTATGTTTCAACTTTATTTTAAGGATTCCGAGTTTGAGGCAATTTATTGTAAATGTTCGCTGCTTCGCTTTCATTGGCGTGCACGCCGCCACACTAATCCCAAAACTGTTTTAATTATATGCACTATTTTTATGTTCCTGCAGGTACTCTATAGGACTGCAATGGCCATTCTGCTGCTCTTCCACAAGCACTCGTCGGCCAACTCGTCCGAGTGGTCGGCCGAGATTCAAAAAAATGGCGTTGATTTGGCTTTGAACAAGTTCTGTCGGGAAATGCCCGTTACACCGCAAAAAGTATTAAAGGTACGCACTTATATTATTGTATTTTTTAAGTATTTATACAGGGTGATTGAGAAAAGTGATCCATAAAAGGTGTAAAAGGGCAGTTCTTTAGTAAACACTTGTTTAAAGGAGGGCGTGCAAGGAATAATTGTGGCATTGAAGGACATTTTTAGCAGAATGTTTGTATAATAAGTGTGCAAAAGTATAGCTGATGCGGGCTGCTGATTGATTTTCCAGACACTTTCTCACTTTCCCTTGTAAAAGTGTTACGGTATATCCACTTTTTGGTCTTGCAACAACATTTTTCCTATTGGATCGATTTTCAAAATTATGAACTTATGTTGAAACGGAAACTTTGTAGTCGACAAATTTGGCTCTGTAATATTTATTTTCTTGGGCCGCTTATAGTGGAATGAGAAAATGGCGCAAATATTTAAATAGAAAGCGGAATTTGCGTTGATTTTTTAGATGTTTGGACAATGCACTCGGTTTGTGCTCGATTATCTTTAAAAATTCATAAAATGCAATCAAGGGCAGGTACAGAAAAATAAATTTTAGATTTTGATAGATGAAGAGCGAATTGTTGAGGTTGCAAAACTTTTGTTTTGCAGGAATTTTCGTTGAGTTTTGAGAATTTTACACAATTTACTTAAAAAAATGTTATCTTAATACTGCGCGGTTCTCGTTAAAGGTCTATAAAATGTAATCAAGGGCAGGCAAATAAAAATCAATTTTATATTTTCTTTTTCGAAAGCGGAATTTCAGTTTCGGAGAAAAATCAATTGATTTTTAGAATTTTCCACAATTACCTTTGAAACATGCTCATTTCTTAATATTTTTGGACGTTCACAAAATGTAATCAAGAAGAACCCAAGAAAAATAAATGTAAGTAGAAGGTGCTCGAACTATTAAAGATGTAAAACATCAGTCTTCCAGAAATTGTCGCTAATTTTTGACAATTTTTCACAATTTTGTTTAAAATCTGATCTTATAATAGTGCGCTGTTGTCTTCAAAAAATCATAAACTCATCCAAGTCAAGTAATGAAAAGGATATTTTGGATTTTCTTAGCAAGGACCTTCAGTAGTAAGTATTCAGGGTGCAAGATTTCAGTTTTGCAGGAATTTCCGTGGGTGTTTGAGAATTTTTTAGTTTGCTTTAAAAACTGCCGTCTTAATGCTGCGCGGCTGTGTATAAAAATGTATAAAATGCAATCAAGGACTGATAAAGAAAAACAAATTTTGGATTTTCATAGAAGAAACTCGAATTGTTCAGACTGTTAAATATCAGTTTTGCCGGACTTTTCGTTGATTTTCGACAATTTTTCACAGTTCACCTTAAAAACTGCCGTCTTAATAGTGCGCGGATGTTTTTATAAAATCATCACATGTTCAGGTAAAGAACAATCCTTTTTTGGATTTTAATAAAAAAGGTGCGACTTTTAGGAGTTCAAAGTTTTAATTTTGCAGAAATTTTTTAAAATTAATTTAAAAAAATGCTATATTAGTAGTGATTGGCTGTTTTTGTTTTGTAAACTGTTATCAAGGGCAGGCAGAGATGAGAAATTTTGCATTTTTGTAGAAGAGGCTTCAGGTTTTAAGGGTATAAAAAATCAGCTTTGCGGCAATTTTCGTTGATTTTTGAGAATTTATCAAACGGCCAAAAGCAGAGCGATAGTTTCAAGGCCTACAGTGGGCAGTTTCAATCCCAAAACTACTGCATTCACGGGATTGTAATTTTCTTGCCACTCTGTATAGGACAGTGGGATTCAATTTTTCTTGTTTCTCCAATTCTAAGCAGAAATGTGTACTTGCTTGCAACCGGAATAAGCAGCCGTTTTCGAGATATCCGATTTTAAACAGTGTGAAACAGTGGATTTGTTGAACTTTTTTCAGTGCCTTTTCAACTTGAAGTTTTATTAAAAAACAGCCAAACTTTTGATCTTATTGACTTTTTTCCCGAATATACTTCAGGGTGTTGTGTATAGGTTGCCCAAGGTTCAACTCTCTAGTAGATGAGGTTTAGATGTAGTAATTTTTCTACTTGATCTTGTTAAAATTAAAATTAGGGATTTTGGTGGATTTTCACTTTTTTTTTTCCCCCAATGAAGCCTTCTAGCGAGAAAAGTGATTCTTCGAAAAATATGCAACATTTCAACAGGTAGACGGTGGTAATAGTTCCAACGTCCCAATTAAAGTAGTTTTTGCAAAAACAGCAAAAACGTGGTTTCCGAAAAAAAATCTCCGGAACTAAAATCGACAGAAAAATCGTAAAAAATATGTAAGACCCTGTGCAAAATTTTCGGGTTTTCCCTTCTGGCTGGAACGGGGATTTTTTGCGGAAACAAACCGACCTACTAGAGCATGTATTTTGTCCATATGATCACCTTGTAAAGAAACATTTTCCAAAAAAAACGAAAAGTTTTCCCCAAAAATGTATAGGATAATTTTGGTCGATTTTCACATTTTTTTTTTCTTCCAAACGAAGCGTGCTAGCAGAAAAAGTGATTCTTTATAAAATGTTGTACGTTTCAAGATCTAACCGGTAATACAATTTTCAAAGCTTCAACATAAGTGGTTTTTAAAAAAATGCAGAAATTAGCCTAAGTTTGCTTAGTGAAAATTAGGGGACGCAAGCAGAACTCCCGCCGTTCTTTCCGGCGCAATGTCTAGAAAAATTCGCATTTTGCTGGCAAATTAGTGGATTTTTGTGTATTTTCTGTTTCAGATGGCTTTCGGAATAAGAGGCCTCAGCTCGTCGTACATCTCGCGAGTGTTTATCAAGACTGAGATGTTGCTGAAGAGCCGTCAAGTGATGCACGGGTCCAAACAGCTGGTTCGATCCAGATCGAGCGAAAATTTGCCAAACAGCCAGAGCCAGAACAACATCCAGATGGTCTCTCACACGTTGACCATCAGAGAGGTAAATTTTCTCGCATTTTTTCATTGACCATTAATTATGAAAATAGTGACCGTTAATTAATTAATTAAGTATGTGGTGCAACTGATCTGATGATGATTTGAGTGTCCTCATAGTTCTTCTCGCTCTCTATCGCCTAAAAATCAACCTGTCCTTCTTTCAGGAGGATAAACGAAAGAAAGCCATGCACACTATTCATTATATTTCGAATCTTTTTGTAAGTTTCCACTAGTTGATCAGTTTGAGAGTGCGTTTGCGGACTTTGTTTGCTTTAACCATTTTACAAGAGCCTACTAGCGGTTAATTGATGACTCCTAAAAACAAGGGCGTGTTATTTGAATTTTTTTTTCACCCTGTATATTGGAGAATAATCAGGAGGAGGAGCTATTTAAGGAAAAACTTCAATTTTTTTTTAAAGTGTTCTTAAATTTATTTCAATGCAATTATGTCCCCCTATTATCCAGTTCTTCCAGTGTAAATAGGCTTTGAAGTTCCTCTATTAGTCCATTTGTCTAACCATTGGTTTGTGTGTGTGTGTGTTGAATGGTTTTTGCAATTGCCTCTTAAATAGTCCAGTCTTTCTGGGCTATGTGACTGTAGTCTTGTCGTTGGGTTTGGTATTGTATAGCGTGTGTTGATTATTTAGATAACACTTAACACGGTTTAAGGATTATTTATGTGACAGCACTGTGTTAAAATTAACAAGTTACTACGTTTTGTTTACTCACGCCCGTCATGGTGTTCTTGAAAAATTTCGGTATGTTTTTTAAGTCCCAAAATGTAGTAAATTTGCTGAAAATATTGCGTCAAAAAATATTTTTGAAAGCGCACGTTTTTTTGACGTAGTATAAGACCAACGAAAACTAGCCAAAGATATTTTTTGAAACGTGTATATTGTTGATTTTTCAGAAAATGTCGGAAGAAGTGTACAATGACATGGTATTGTATTAGTTTTATTTTCTATTTGAAATGCATTTGCGTTTGTTCTCGTCTCTTCATGTGCATTTTGTTCGATTAATCCCCCCGTTTAACTCTCACTATTGATTGTGCAGTTTTAGTTCGAGATTGCACGTGATCTTAGTTACTAACCACTTTAACCTGCTGTTTTTGCAGGCATTTTCTAACTAACTTTTCTTCTTTACATCAAATAGCCGCTCAAACGCCAAACATTGTAACTAAGACCACAGCAAATCATCATCACTTCCATCAAGTGACTAAACTGTTCCATTGCATGTGATTGGTCCCGATAAATTAACAAATATCCGTTGAAATTCACAGTTTCAATATCGATGTACGATCATTTTCATAATAACCATCTCATTGTCATTTCTGGCTTGCGTGTGTCCTCATAGGTGTTGATAGTCTCGGGTTTCCGCCAATCGAATAGCGGATTAAACACTTTGGAAGCGAAAAAACGCACTGTTCTAATGAATAAACGCGTCAAGCAAAGCAAAATACATACTGCCCACAGTACTCTTAGAGTACGTCACATAGTTAAACATAGAGGGTGCTGTAAGGTTCTGAGCAGTAGTAGGCAAATGCAAGGTTTTTTTATATGTTCCACTTGTCAGTTGGACAGTGACAGTTGGTAAAGATTTTTGGTCGAAGTTGATAGGAATTTGGCCCGGAGGAGAGAAAGAGTTGTGTTGGCAAACGAAACCACAGGCTCAGCTCTGACGATGTCAGCCATGCGTGCTAGCGAAACATCGACGTCAATCAACCGAAATTTCCTCAAATTACTTTAGACTTACATGACTGGAACCAGTTGCTTGTCACCCAGCGCCATCTAGGCGACCGGTTGGCCGTAACCGAGCAATGAAGTCTATTCAAAACGCGAAACTATAGACAGTTGGAGTAGTTGGGTGCGCGCAAGCCGAGAAGAGCGCGAAAATTGATTATTTGAATAAATCGGATGTTGTTGAATCGGGGTTTTTGACTGAAATTTCACATCAAGCAGCCTTGAGTCATCGAGCTCTTCATTAGTATGCGACCGAGCTCAGATTCATTGTTTTGGTCATTTTTATGCCGGTACGCTTCAGTTCGCCGAAGGCTGATGGCAAGGCCTTCTTTGTTAATTTTTACTTCCTGGCCTGGAAGTTGCAACATTGGCTTCTTGATACAAGACGCTTTTTTGATTCTCTCACTAAATGGATCAGCTTCATTTGAGCGAAACTAGTCCCAAAGGCATTTAGCCGGCGATTAAAATGATGAACCTCGTGCTGTTCTAGACAAAGCCTAGTAATTTCATAATTATGGTGATCAACTCGACAATAGTCAATTAATGGTTGACCTTTTTCTTGTCCATCCGACGTAGATCTTGTTGGAAAACACGTCCATTCGACCGATTCCTTTCTCTTTCTGGTCCACATCCAAAGACGCAACCAGCCAATAATCTGGAGTTGTTGATGTCGACTGGTGAAGAATACTTAATGTGGACATTTGTTTTTAATTTTTTTAGTGCGATGCTTCGGTTAGAGCTTAATCGTGCTCCCAACAGTTTCATATTTTATGTGATCGATAATATTGCATGTAAAACGGCAATTTTTTCAAGTGAAAACTCACGCCACCTCGACTGATCAATAGCCCAGTTTATACGCAGAAGTTATCGCACGGTTTTTTCCCCCGGTCCAGAGTCCTTCGGGACTCGCGCCTAGTGGCAAATTTGGGGCAAATGGTCGAATATCCCAAGGTAAACTTCAGAGTTTGTTGGAAAAAAATAGGAGTTTATTAAAAAATTTATTTAAAAAATAAGACATTTTTCTGGAGCAATTTATTAGGTGCATAAGGATGGCAAATCGCAAGCGATTAGTCCTCATTACAGCTTAGACTCCCATAAATCACGCCCATTGAATTCCCTGTCATTTAGTGAATGTGGTAATTTGCTCCTACGGGCAGCAGCGGCCATACGGAATGTTAAACGAAAAGCGAAATTATTGGTAACTGCATGTTGTGTTGATGTTGGAAGCTGCGCTGTTGTGCGTTTAACTTGTTTACGCAGCGCATAACCGTGTGTGCGTTTGCCTTTTTTCCTGCTGCTGCGCAGGGAGCGCATTCGCCGGAGCCGCGCACGCTCTCCATGGGCGTCTACCCGATCCAGAATGTGGATTCGCGCATCCTCGACCCGCAGGATGTAAGTTTATTGATGTTGTGCCACTATTCACCTAGATTTACCCTCGTAGAGCTTAGTGCATAGATAGCCAATCCAGAGCCAATTCAAGCCCAGCAAGGGATGCGATTGGTTCTGGATTTTTGTACTTTTCTTCACTCATCCAATTTCGTTCTTATTTCAGACGCCCTCCTACCTAAACCTTGCCAAATGGTTCCCGTTTTCCCATCCAATTTTCCATGATAAGGCGTTGCACCAAAGGGCTCGAAAAATGGTATTTTTATGCAGGGTGATTGGAAATCGGCCTCATTCCTCTCGGGGACTTCTTTGGGAGAAAAAAATAGAGGAATGTCGTCACTTTTGAGTCAACCTGTATTTAGAGCACACTGACTACTAAACTCTAATCAGTTTGGTTTTTTTCCAATCGGGTTCCCCAAAAAAGTAGTTTAAATATCTACATTTTAATGCGTATGTACACTCCTTAGGTACATGATTTTTGCCTGTGTCCCATGCATCCGTTTATACATTCCGTACGTCCGCCGCCGGACGAACTGACAGATCTCCAACCAATAGAAACACTTTCGTATCATCGTACCATCGTATAAACGGATGCATGGGACACAGGCTTTATTCGCAATTTATCACTTAGCTGTTTCTTTGCCAGCCGAAAAATTGCGCTTATTTCCTGCGGTTTGGTTTTGCCACCGCGACGTTTTTAAGCACATTTCACACTCGCTTTGCATTTCCTAGGTTAGAACGGTTTAGATAGAAAAGCGCTCGTTTAACTCTATTTAAGAAGGAAATCTGTTTGGCCTTTTGTTTAATTAGAGTACGAAAACTCTGCATGTTTGCATGCGCCAGAGGCGCCCCGTTTCTCTTCTAGGGGTATAAAAACTAGAAATCTACAGGGTTTTCAACATTTCCAACGAATTTATTATAGTCTTCTGGCAGGACACTGCAGAACGTTGTTTTAGGTCCAGTTTGAGACACTGAGTACAAAAAGGTACAGGGCGTAGCAAAAAAACGGCGACTGATTTCCCTAAGTCGTGATCGGTCAAGTTGGCAGCCGGCCGAGCAGGCAAACGCTCCCGATTTATGTACTGGCGAGTTTTTCGGATTATTTTATAAGCGGCGTAATTCAGTGGAGCAGCGCTTTCCGGTTCGGGTGCCAAAAATTCGCCGCACGAAAATAAACAAACGAAAATAACAAACATGGCAAAGCGCGGACACCGCGTGACTTTCGAAATTTTTTCCTAAGCGCTCGAGTTTTAAAAACCTGACCAATCGGCGCGTCCTGAATCGCCTTCGGCTTACGCTCTTTGTTTCTGGGGTTTCCCGAGTTTATCCCCTTTGCGTGGTTTGGCTGTTTTCTGCGCTGTTGCCTGAACTTTTTCCTGTTCTACAGCACGCCGCGGTAGATGATCTAATCAAAGTCTAAAAATAGGGGTTCATTTTTCTCACTGCGCCAGGTGACACCGGGATTTTTTAAAAGTTGACTAGCTCAAGCCCCTCCAGGTGTTTATCCCGTTGTTTTCCTCATTATTTTGTCTTTAAAAATATCCCGGTTTTATGGCACGATAAAGTATTTATATGAGCGTAAATCATTCCAAGTGGCCTGTAAATGTTCGCAGCCATTAGGAATGTTTAGGATTATTGATCAGAAAATGGGCAAATAGGTAGAGGACGGGAAAAAAGAGAATCCGCTCGGTTTGTCCATGTTAATAATTTACCGTTCGCAATGTTTAACGTCCGTTAGCTGCCCGCTTGTGTATGTGATCAAACATGCCGGATGGAAACAATCAAGACAATTTTTATCATTTGATAAGTTCGCCTGCCGCAATAAACACTAATGACCACTTTAATTTAATTTGGAAAAGAAGTCGAGTCAGTAAAGGTGATTTTTTCGCCGATTTTTGGAGCGTTTCGGCGATTTGTTAACCGTCATCAGACGGTATTTTACCTTGAATTTTTTGCAAATTTTGCAGGACGAGACCCAAAGCCACCTTTGTCTGTTTAAACAACGCGTTTATTTCACATTGCGCTAGAATGGATTAAATTCGCTGTTAATTTTGCTGATTGGTTGATTTTTTCGCATTTTTTGTCAGTTTCGGATACAAGTGCAGCCCCTGAAGAAAATCTGAATTAAATGTAAATTTTACAAGCAAAAGCACATTTTCAGGTCATTCTAATCCGGGTTATAAAGCTGGCCAACGGTCGGGAACGTTGTCGATTTTATTAAAAGTTTGTAATTTTCGTTCTTCTTTGCCTAAAAACAATGAGTAAGCTGCCAAACGAAAGATCTTTTATTAAAGTTACAGACGATTAGAAACTAAAGCGAGTGTATAAACAACGCATTATTAACAAGTAAAAAATCCACTAAACCCTAGTGTTCCAGACATCCATAGAATGCGAAGCGGTGTGGAAGCGACTGCGCCATTTGGACCTAAAATCACACAAATTTATCAAAAAACTGAAATATCAGGTTTTCTCATCTACACTTTTCCGCGCTTAAAATGGTAAAATCTAAATTTGAAAAGTTTCTCTAGAAGAGCTACATATAAATGTGTTGTGCAAAAGTTTCTTTATAAAGATTGCTGAATAATCTGTGGTTTTCATAATACAAAATAGAATAAATAGCATTATAGAATAAAAAAATTCGTTAAAATTGCTATTTTCCAACAATCCTCAAAGAAGCACAAGTCTGGAGGCCGTGGTGGCCACCTTATAAAAGACCTGTAGAGTAGGCCTGGGTAACTCAGTGAATTTTCAAGAGTTGGCGCAGTTCCGTTGCTGGGAAAACGGTACTTATACAAATTAAGAATTTTTTAAAAGTTGACATTCCAGTCTCGGGTCTGGTAAAGCTTTAATCCGCTTCAATAAATGGGTTATAACTCATTAACGCAAAAAGTGGCAATAACTCAAAAGCGCAACTCAACACAGTGATATAGGCCTGGGTAACACTGTGTTGAGTTGCGCTATTGAATTGTTGGCGCTCTCTGAGCTAACGAGCTATAACTCATCCGTTAATGAGTTATAAGCCATTTATTAAAGCTTTACTAAACCCGAGATTGGAATTTTCATCTAAAAAAAGGTCATCAACATTATTTCTGAGTAACGTTTTACTACTTTGTTCAAACAACTAAAAAAAGTCATCTAGATTTTCCCTGCAACAGAACTGAGCCCAAAGAAAGTTGACCAGTTTTCTTGTAAAATCGATCTTTGTTTTTAACATAAAATATTCAGTATGCCAGTCTTTTATAATAAAACGTTAGGAAAAACGAGGTTTTTCTGTTTAGAGACAGTGTTTAGAAATATTGACCTAAAAGTGAAGAAACCCTAGTTTCCAACAGTTTTACAAATAAATGATTATACACTTTCGCTATTTCAGTTTTTTTAAAGTTTTCCAAATATTTCTGCAAATCGGTTAAGGGGATAAGTGTTCCTATAAAATTTATCTTATAGTTTTTCACAGAAAATACCTTAAGATTGCCAGTATTTCAAGTAAAACTAAAAAATAATGCGATTTTTGCGTAGAAAGCATTACTTAATAGAAACTTTGTGAAAACTGGAATGACCTGAAAATTTAAAGAAACTTTAGAAATATCCAGAGCGATGAGGGCGGCGAATTTTCCAAATAATATTTTCCAAACTTTTGCTCTCTGGTCGTTTTTTCAAGATTTAACCTTAATATTTTTCGGTAAAAAACTGAATACAATTATTTGGTTTTTGTGTCAAATTCGAAGCTGAAAAGGGTTTTCTAAAGTTCCCTGCAAACCGATGAATGAGGCGAATTTTCTAGCAAACTTAGTTTTACTATTTTTGGCTGAAAAGTCGGAAATTATCAGAAAATAATGGTTTTTTTGGTTAATTTTTCGATTAAAAACTTTTAGGTTTGTGATCAGTTTGGGAGAAAACCTTTATGGTTTTCGGGGCTTTTGGAATTTTTCGCTTAAAACACCTCCAGATCGTCAGTATTTTTAACTGAAGCTCTACAAAATAGAGCGTTTTTGAGTAGAAAGTGAAACAAAAAACATTAAGTTAAAACTAAAAAACCACATTTTTTTCTTATAAACAAGTTGTAAACTTTCGCTTATTCTGTTCGTTTTTTGATAGAAAATTATAAGTGAAACTTTAGAAAATTGAGCATTTAGAAGAAAGAGTAACTCGGTTAAAACGGGAAAATTCTGAAATTTTGAAGACATTCTAAAAATTATCTTAATCAATGCCCCTTAAAATAGACCTTTAAACAAGTAAAAAAAGTCATCAACATGTTCCCTGCGACGGAACTGAGTTACTGCGCCGGTGCGTTGGGTTGGCGCACCAAGCCATTTGCGTAGCACTGCGCCAACTCCTAAAAATTCCCTGAGTTACCCAGGCCTACATTTAAGTGTTATCCATGTAAACGTTTCACAATGTAACAGCCGCAAATCTCAAATTCAAGGCGATAAAAAAATTAATACGACGCCTAGAGAAGTTTTCTCTTCAATAAAGGAACCTTTTGCATAAAACATTTTTCTTTACCTCTTCTAACTGAGAAAATATAGACATTTTGACAAACTTTTGATTTTTCAAAAAAAGCACATGACTATTTATTTCACTTTGAAAGCGTCGACATGTTGTACACCCGGTACTTAAGAACACAGGGAATTTGTATGTTAGTATGTCGCATCAATACAACGTCTCAGCGCCATTTATGATACAGTGATCCAAAGTGTTATCTATGGTGTTGCGCCGTGAGACGCGAGGTGTCAACGCATTGACGCACAGAGCGGCACCAACACAAAAGCGCCACATCACACAGTGTTACCCAAGCCTACCCTGTACATTGCATTCGATTTACAAACATCCGAGTTAGGGCTGATAATAAGCATATTATTTCAGTAAATTGGTGGAAACCATACAAATGGGAAGGGAATTTGAGGAAAATGTCTTATGATGGGTTGTACACTGTGTCCAAAATACGAAGGTAAACCAGAAAAAATTGCGGAATAATAATCAAACTAATAATAAGGCATTTCAAAACATTTGTTATGAATTTTCGTTTCCAGGTAAATTCGTATCAGAGTTTGTAATGCACCATTTTATTAGCCTGAATAATTGATCTTTTAATCTGTTTTCAAACTCTGTCCAAGGTGGGCAATTAAATGGCCAATAAAATGACGCTTTAAACCCTTTGATACGAAATTTCGCGTCCGACTTATTTGGAAACGGCCTATAATTTAATTTGTTTTAACTGTTCAAAAAATCGAGCTCATTCTCCAATCAAGCAACCTAAAGCCTGCTAAGTCGCATTGCCTGCAGCAACATTTACGTGCTTAGCCGCAGTAAAAAACACATTCAATGGATACAAATTTATTGTTGTTTTACGGCTGATAAAGGCCGAAATTAAATGGCAATTTATTGCATTGTTTTGCTTGTTGTTTGACGCCTGTTGCCTGCTAGCATGTGCATGCCGAACTAGCATTGAAAACTTGGATTAAAGTCCACTCAGTTTTCCCCCGGAAAAAATTGCCCGCTAAAGCCCGGTACGGGGTGCAAATGATAAAAATGTGTTCAGTCAACTCAAGGCCCAAAGTACCGGACTTTATACCCGCATAGGAACCAAATTGAAGTCGATAGATTAAGGTTCTCCTTTGTAGCTTCTCACCCTTTGGTCATGGCTGCCGGTGCGGATCACCATGTATCAGCCCATTCTTCTCTACACAACTGAAGAACACGGATGTTCGCTCACCACTTTTTACGTCAGGGTTGAACAGCACGAGCCCACTCTTCTGATGATCAAAACTTGCAACAATGAGGTACGTTTTTCATTTTTCAACGCATGTTTATGGTTTAGGGATTTTTTCGGAATTGTTTAATGAAACTGGGTGAAAATCGCTAAAAGTTAGCGAAAACCGCATTGCGATATCTTTATCCGTGCGCCATTTAAAGCAGAAAATGTTAAACGCGTCATTTTGTTATTGCGGGATATTTGATGCGTTTAGTTTTAGCATTTTTTCTTTCAATCGAGATGGAAATGAAGAAATCGCAATGCGAGTTTCGCTAGAATTAAAGCATATTCAATCGCATAGCGATGGCAAGTGTTTGTCCCGCTGAGGAAAGTTTGCGTTTAAGCTCAAATGGAGAACGGATGAAGATATCGCAATGCGGTTTTACAAAAATGTTGACAATTTCAATCACAGTGATGCGATATCTTCAACTTGCTGCGTTTAACCTTTTCTTCTTTAAATCGAAATCGGATGAAGAAATCGCATTGCGGTTTTTACGAAAATTAAGGGAATTTCCATCGGAAAACGCTGTCAATTCTTTCTCCCGCTATGGAAAGTTTGCGTTTAACATTTCCTTCTGTAAAGCAAGATCGAGTGCAAAAATCGCATTGCGGTTTTTACGAAAATTAAGTCAATTCCCATCGCAAAACGATGTCAATTTTTTCTCCCGCTATGGAAAATTTGCGTTTAACATTTTCTTATTTAAATCGAGATCGGCTAAAGAAATCGCATTGCGGTTTTTACGAAAATTAAGGGAATTTCCATCGGAAAACGCTGTCAATTCTTTCTCCCGCTATGGAAAGTTTGCGTTTAACATTTCCTTCT